GTGCCACTGCAAGTTTGTCCAACCCTAGTACGAATAGCAACCCCGAAGCTGGCTCGTCCAATCCACCTGCTCCAAACCAAACTCCGGCCGCCAAACCATCTCGATCCAAACCTCGTCACAGCACTACTCCAGCACCCATGCCTGTGGCAATGGGTGCTTCGGGCGCACTGGTGCGAAGCACAGGGGGCAAGTCTTCTGACCGTACGTATCTATTCTATTTCAACGCCATATATAACTAACACGCAAATAGGACCCCTCTCCGAGACATTACGGCTCACTCTCGGCGGAACAGGTACTCCGTCTCCACGCGTGGGTCTTTCTCGACGAGGCTCAAATAAGATTGCACCTCTGCTGGCTTTTCGGGGTGCTCCTCCACCGCCGCCCCCGCCTATGCCTAAAAAGCCCGTGCGTAAAAAGAAGGGGCAGAGTGACGACGAGGATAGCGAAGAAGGTCCGGAGTGGGAAGGCTTGACCGAGAAACAGAAGGAGAAGAAACGGAGGGAGAAAGAAGTTGCCGGGTGGTACAGCGACTGATTGGTATGTGTGACAAACTGTGGTCTTCTTTCGAGGCTAAATGCATGGGTAGATTGATTTTATCGTTTGCTACAACGAAGTTTAGATGGGCGTTTGAAGCTGAAATTAATTCAAAATTGTTATCGTAATTTATTATGTTTGCTGTACAATCCCGATGTAATCTATTAGCACCTTACAATCTTATTGTTCAATAACCGTACCTTAGTTTCTTGTGACCACGCCGAAGCTTCATGAAGACTTGTCCCCGTCTCAGGGTCGCCCCAAGAGTCTGTGGCCGCTGCCTCGTTCACGCCCCATTCCCCCCATCTTGTACCACCCCAGCCCCCAAAACCACCTTCCGACTCAACAGGCGCAACCCCTTCGCCTTTGTTGCTGCCACTATCCCAGCCACCCTGTGAGATGCTCTCGTCGCTCCTATATTCTACCTCAATGTCGTTTTCAGCTTCTTGATGGTACCCTCCGCTCGAATCTACTTCATTCTCGTATGATCTGGGTTGAAACCCGCTCCATACAACCACTCGGTCCCAACGGGGTTCCGTATAATGATTCGGACTCCGAGGAGGTAGTATCGACCATTGCCCGACTGTGTCCCCGGCGTCCATATCCGCATCAACGTCTTCAACAGGATTTCCCTCTACCGGCGGCGCATACATACTCCTTGAATCATCTTGAGGCACTCCCCTCTCCGTCAGTGCATCAACTAGTGCAGCAACAGATCCTCCGCATGGCATCGCAAGCTCGCTCCATAGTTCTCCAAAGGTAAGCTCCCCTTCACCCCGCATCTGCATCAGATAGACCAGCGCGCTCCTAATCTCCTGGGAAGACTGGGGATGGCCAGCACGTGGATCGACATCGAAACTTCGTCGTGCGACAAGTTTGTGAGGCGGACCTGCGCTAGGGGACCATGACCCAGAAATGGACATGCTCTCTAAGGACAAAGATTCGACCCCCGGCTCGCGGCGCACAAACACAGCGGTTTGAGACGCGTATCCAAGCTCGCGATCAAATGGGTCCGGCTCCGTAGGAACCCCTACTCCATCCAAGGTAACATTGTAGCCGTGCAAGCAAGCGGCCTCCTGGCACCACTCGGTAAATTCGGGGACAGTCCATTCGCGTTTATGATCGGAATGTCGAAAGACCCGTGTGGTCTTCCCTGTTGGGTCTAGGTATCCTTTGCGCGGGACGCCTGGCGGATGGAAACGAGCATTAAAAGTAAAATTGGGTGTGGTGAGGACTAGGAGGCGTGGGCGATATTGTTCCAGGAGGACGTAGGAGAAGGCAGGAAGAATAGACTCAGGAACATGTTCGATTCTAACCAAGCAAGTTAGCATAATCGTATACTGGATCCAATACACCTACACCTCGGTCGACACAATCGCATCAAATTTATAGAATTCGGAGTTCAGAACCTCCAATCCCCCCTGCCATACGCTAGCCTCTAGGGGTGCCCAGCGTATGTACCAACCATCTTCCCCCGAACCCCAAGGTGCGAGATAGTGGGGCTCACAATTGCTCGTCGCGGCATGCACGGCGTCGTCAATGACGTCAGGGTCGATGTCAAGCGCAGCAACTCGTTCGAGGAACAAATCGCGAATGGGGGTCGAAAGGTGACTATCTGGCGGATCGCTTGGAATACTCGATGCGGAGCTGCACAGAGCGCTGAGCAGCGAGCCCTCGCCACATCCAATATCCAGCACCTAGCCACATTACAACAGATGACAGTGACATTAATACATAGACGTACTGAGCGAGCGTTGTTCAAACGAAGGGTTTCCATGATCCATCGTTGTCGCTCATGAGCCAAGGGAGGTATAAACCTCACTGGAAGGTCTTGGGAGTTACTATCAGGGCTTTCAACATCTGAACCCATCGAGGTAGAGCAGCAAGAACAATCACAGTATCAATTACAGTACGTAAACGGCTAATCAACTTGAATCTATCCGACAGATTTAGGAATACTTAAAAGTTCCACAACCAAAAACGCCATCAGGAGAATTACGCCCGTTCCTATGAAGATACAAGGTAAGGTGCCGAACGAGCGATATCATAGCCTACAGACCCAAGAGCCTGTGGCCAATCATCTCGTTGCTGAGAGCCTCGTCACGCAGCGTTTTTGATTGTGGAAGAATCAACTTGCAAAATTTTGGTTCCGGCATTTTTATACTTAGCTTAGCACAGCCACCTCGGCGTACCGCCGGCTGGGCCGCCAGGAACAGCACCCTTATTTTGACCATAAAATAATTCAGTAATTGAATGCCGATCTTATAATAATAAATGAGAAGCACGGCACACAAAGGAACATCCAAAAAACACCTGCAAAAGTCTATGGCACAACGGCTGACGCACACACCTGCCGAATAGATGATTAAGTATGGAGGTGGAGGGTATACTGTATCAACAGGACAACAGAACAAATAGGAGCGTGCTGCTCAAAAGTTGGGAAAGCAATGAGAATGCAGAAATATCTAGTCGAGGATTGGATGAGTGGGGATCTGGGAACACTCGACATTAACAGGCTGATAACACTGTGACGCGAGCACTCACTGGTTGCGCAGTCATCGTCAACTACCGTCTTGGTGGAGCTAGCGAACACATCATCAAGGCTTGCGCCAACTCGGGTTTCCACGCTACTCTCCGTACTGCCTCGGCAAAATCGACCCATTCTCGACGCCTTTCTGACGCCTCATCCCAGCTGTCCGCTAACGCGACCACGTCTAGCTCAAAAAAGTGGTAGTTGGCAGTCACGCCAGCAATCGTTGTCACAGAGCGAGTGATTTTGCCTTGCACGCCAGCTAGAGGTGGAAAGAAAGGCGAGGAGAGAGTAAGAAGGCGACGAACGCGGACGCAGGACGCGAGAGCGAGTGACCTTCTTCAAACGCCTCCCGACACGCAGCTGCCTCCAGAGTTGGGTCCGTTGTCTCCCATCCGCCCTTGGGCACTGTAGGGTGGAGGGCGTGAGTTTGTCTGTGTAGAGCCATACATGCGGAAAACGCTACTCACAAACCCATTGGTGGGGTCGCTTCCTACTTGTCACAAGCAGGACTTTTCCGGCGGCACGTGCGATGGGAATAGCGCAACAAACAGTGCGAGGACGTGTGGCATCTGCCCGACCCATTTTCAAAATGTCTAGAGGATGAAAAAGAACGTTGGTGGTGATTAAAACTAGTTAGCTGTCCAGTGAGAATAGAACGTAGAATGGAGAGCGCACTCTATATTGCGGCGGAACGAGGTAATGTCTAGTGCTCGTTGGATACGTAAGCAGGGCAGTAGAACGACTGTGGTGTAGTAAAACGGGCGGATCGGGGGCTGGAATCTATACTAGAGGTCGAAGAGCTATGAAGGAATAGGTGGACGTAGGGCAATTGGCGGGTTTTAATAGGTTAGGCCGGTGGAGATGTTGTGGAAAGCATGGCCAAGGTCAGGTAGACGCAGTATTATTTTCTACGACCGTGCACGGGAGCCCGACAAACTCGCACGTGCGTGAACCACACAACAACACAGCATCGTGAAGTCAAATTCTTCATCAAGTACTACTCCTGTTTCCAACAAAAAAGCCAGGCGCATATACACGGTAAAATAAGAGCCGAAGAAAATTTAATTTTGTTCAGCTCGAGTGAAAAATGCTGAAAAGTCGTATTCCACATCCAGACCGGTGGAGAGCTACGTTCGGATACTGTACTACTTACGCTGAACAAAACCAGATCTCTTATAGGAACGAAGTCGTCGGCTGCGCTGCCCCCGTGCAGCCAGGCTATACCAACCGAGCGATCTCGCCTCGCCCTAGATGTACGAGAGGGAGAGCCTGTGGACCAGACAAACGTGTGATAAATACAACAAATTACATGCGGCCAGCGGATAGAGGCTGGTGTTGCTAGCAACACACGATCTCTTGGGCGGAATTCGAACATACAGCGTCGCGTCTGGGTCACAAAACCTGGACCATCAAGCATACGCCAGATTATTGGAACCAATACAGTGTGAAGGCTGGTAGTGCGCTAACGAGATTAATCTCGCTGAGAGTATGTAGTCACACGTTGTGAAGTTGTTGACAGAGCCCGGGCGCTATAAAAAGTCGTGAGATACCTTATTAAATAGCTCACTCGATGCATTTACGCGGGCAGGATAGGTATGCGCACGCAGCTAAATTCAGTTACCTGATCCATCCCAGCTGGCAGTAGACAAGCGAATTTAAGAGAGAAAAGTAGAGGCTAAAAATCCACCGTGATAGTAGGAGAGTAAGTGTAAGAATTCTTGTAGGATGCTGATTTACGGGACGAGATAGTAGCATAAGCGCGAAGGGAGGCAGGACTTAAGGTAGACACTTTCTATCTTGGAGCGGCGCGCATCACGTAGATCGGCCCCCTTTTGCTCCAGGCGTATTTCTTGGTCTCCAGAGCGCCTTCCAAAGACATTGAAGCACAATTCAGCATCGGAATACTCCACCGCAAAATCAAAACCAAAACTCAAGGGACAGGCGTGGATCGAACACGCGGCCTATCGATGTCTTTTATAAAGCTGCAATCGATTGCTCAACCACTGAGCTTCTATCCCTTGAATTTAAAATTTACAAAATGTCCACATTTGCGGCTGCTGGACTAAAGAGGCTACATATGGCGGTGTAGCTCCATGAAATACTCAAGAGGGCGCATATATTAACCTTTTGAACATTCATTTGAAGTAGAGAACGTATTAAGTGTCATTTAGTAAACTAAAAAGCAACAGAACCTCACCTTACGCATGCATATACCTCTCTTGTTAATTCGCGATCTAGAGTTCTGAAGCCGGATGCTGAATTAGAGTTTGTAGTTCACATACGCGGCAAAACGTAAGAGGTATAGAAAGAGTAAATCTGATGTTTGTTCTAGCTGAGTCAAGCCAGCTTGCTGTAGCTAAGCTTGTGGCATTGGTTTGTAGACAGTTTTACTATGAGCTGCATGCACGATACAGGTGGACACTATAAATGGATTTCAAAAGTGGGTGGGCTGATGACTAGGAGATGGATGGTATACTCTATTGGCGTTATGAAAGTGAGTGCTAGGTAAAGGCAGTAAACCCGTACACCTTTAATTGTTCAATATATATGCAGCTCATTCGACGTCTGAGACCAGAGTTCCCTACAATAGGACCAGCCCGCTTCACACAAAGATACCAAGGGATTGATCTAAATGATTCCGATGATCAGCAATTACTCAATAACCGGGAGGCGTTGCTCGGCATTCACGAGACCCGCTGTATGTTGGGGCGATAACGACCGTAAGCTAATGTATTTGAACCAAAGACGCAGATGATGCGGATTGCAGCTGATGTTATCACCTCGTGTATACAGCGCAGTAGTGTACCAAAAAAGATTCATCTGAATACCCCGTACACACATTGTTTGGATGACGGCCTTTTGCAAGTCACAGTAATGAGGCCGGGAGAGTAAATCGGATATTCTAAATACATGTGCGATAAACTAAGTGGCCTCATTGCGCAAGAGTCAGTTCATGAGGGTTGACATCCAGCAGGGCAATGATACAGCTAGTTATAGTCGAACCTCTTGAAATACGCCCTCCATAGCCCGCACGCTGTCAACAAGAACTCAATTGACGAGGTCCAAATCAAGTGCGGAGGCTATTGGGTTTTAGTGCAAAACGTTTGCCATCATTGTGCAGTTCAAGAGATTCGATAGTATACACATGCGCTATTCTACCGCCTTCTAGTGTTGGATCTAAACCTCGCTAGTTAAAACGGTCAGGCCCCAGCCATACGAGCCGAGCGGCGATTATATACATCTAAGCAGAATGCTGCTAAGAGCTGTCGAGCGGATCCGGTCTAGGTGGGCGAGAGCTTAAAGAAGGGGACAGACTAGAGCGTTGGTAGTTTTGCGAGTCACCACTCTGTGAGGCGGCAGAGAGGTCGAAGCCGATTCGCAAGTGTTATGAATGAAGTAAAAGTGGGCATTTAGTAAATATTATATATAAAAAATTGAATGAGAGGGACAGGCGTGGATCGAACACGCGGCCTATCGATAACTATAATTATGTAAGAAGCTTACACAACGCTGCAATCGATTGCTCAACCACTGAGCTTCTATCCCACGTTATCAACCTCAAAAACAAGATCAACATCACCTCATATTTATCTTATCCTTCTGAACCCAACTGGATGGCTTACCCGTATAAGCATCTGCTATGTCGTGCATATCAACCAGACGATCACCGAATCTGTTAGATAACTCTGAAGATACAAGAGGAACAGTTTCTGTTATTGGCACGTGATGTGGTGCCCCAAGCGCGCTGGTGGCTCCTTCCTGCTACCACACCATGTCATCCGAAAATACTACAGAGGTCGAGACCAAAACTGCCGCACCTCTCAAGCCGGCTCGTAAGCAAGTCAAACCCGGCGAAGTAGAAAAGAAGGAGACCCCGCAGACTGGCAAGGAGTATAGTAAGTACAACTGTAGCTGCCACGACTCCTACTGACTTCAAGCTTAGACATTTGGTATAACAAGTGGGCCGGAGGAGATAGAGAAGATAGCTACTCAAAGCACGTATTATTCTCGGTCGCACGAATCGATAGCTAACCCCGCACTTAGCAAAGTCAAGTCCCAGACTCGATGTAACATCAAACGAGACGCAGGCTACACGAGAGCCAACACTACGGGTATCAAGTATTGTTGCTTATTCTTTGCACGCGGCTGCTGTCCATATGGGTGAGTGCTATTCTGACCCATGCAAATGCATCTGTTCAACGCGCCACTGCAGCTATGAATGCGAGTACCTGCACACTTTGCCTCCACCTTCGGCTTCGATGGAGGATTCGTCAAAGGATTGTTTTGCCCGAGACAAATTTTCGGACTACCGAGACGACATGGGAGGCGTAGGTTCGTTCACGCGCCAGAATCGAACACTCTATATTGGACGAATCAAGGAAACCGGTCCTGGTAGCGAGACGGAGGAGATTGTCAGGCGTCATTTTAAGATGTGGGGGGAGATCGTGTACTGTAAGTTACGCCGCCTTGTCTATAGGATTGTTTCTTAACTCGCCCTTGGTTATAGTGCGAGTACTTCAATACCGTAGCGTCGCCTTTGTGACATACGCAGACGAAGCAAATGCCCAGTTTGCAAAAGAGGCTATGGCTTGTCAGAGCCTCGACAACGACGAGATTTTAAACGTTCGGTATGTTATCGCTCTACCCTGGGGATGTCTGACTTCTAACTTGTCTTAGATGGGCTACTGAGGATCCCAATCCGACTTCGAAGGTTGCGGAGAAGCGCCGTTTGGAGGAAATCGGAAGTGCTGCGATTGCAAATAAGCTGGATCCACGAATGGTCGATGCTGTTCGCCATATTCGTGCACTGGAAGACGAGGAGGCAGTACCCGAGCCTCCTTCACCGCCAGAAAAACGGCAACGCCTAATTGAACCAGAGCCGGAGCCTGAAGAGCCCCCACAGACAGGCTTGCTAAGTGCGCAAACTCTGGAGGGTCTCAAGTATTTAGCAGAAATGCGACGACGAAAAGAGGCTGTGGTTCAGCCAAAGGTTGCGTCGAACGCAGTTGTTCCACGTTCGGCCGCGGTTGGTTTAGGGGGACTGGGTAGTTACGGAAGTGATGAGGACGAATAAATGTACTACCTTATTGTTTTATGATCCCAGATCAACTTTGTAATGCTACCTCGAGTCATTTTGTTCTGACAAAAGGCTAAAGTCAAAAACGGGTAGTGTCTATTTGTTACGAAATAAGCTTGTACACAGCCTTAGAGGCTCGGCTACAGATCAATAGCCGATCGAGTGACCTCTGCACAGGGCCTGCACATTATAAGATACTGTAAAGTATGGATGTTAACTATTCCTGTTTTCTCTTCCAGAAACCTGGTTAATAGCATTGCGCTACACTTCATATGTGAGCTACGCACCAATCATGGGCGTGGTCTAGGCGCTCTTAGGCGCTCATATGCCGTACAAGTAAACGTGATTCTAGTCAATAAAGTAGAATACGTGCCTATTGCGGCATACCCCTTGAGCGTACCTCAAAGGGATTTCGTTAGAGACCCTTAGCGTTACTGTATTTGGTTGCGGCATTGGAATATAGCAGTGCCACACTTTATTATCCCAATAACAACGGATTTGGGATCGTTTGGTAGAAGCGGTACTGTATACGTTAAGTGAGCTGGGCGCGAGGGGCAGTGGTACTTGTTCGCAGAGTCGGGCACTGCCGAATAGGCAGCGAAAAAAAGGTACCAACAGGGCACACTGCCACCTCAAGACCAAGGCGGCTTCAAAAAGTCGTTTCTCTTGGCTCTCTGGAAGGCACACCCCACCTACCTACCCTGTATCACCCCTCCTTGCTCCATGATCTTCGCGTCGCTGTTTGCTGTAGCACTATGGACGACGTCTCTCGCTATGCCTACGACCCATGACCAAACAGATCTCGGAGCTCTGGCTCGACGCGACGCGAACTTAGGCTCATTGGTGCTCATCGTCAAGGCCCAAGACGACGTCAACGACCCCGACGACCTAACGGTATCTTCGTGTCTCGTGAACACGGGGGATAAGACTCTTAAAATTCTTAATGACCCTAATGGTAAGTCGATGCTAGTCACTGTCGAGAATGAGCTGACCCGTCTCCAGGCCCGTTGAGCACGTGGAAAACTCACACATTCGAGTTCTACGAAGTCCCCAGTTCAGGCTCAAGCTCTTTAAAAGCGAGGTCCGATGGTTCTGTGGCCGAAGTGAACGCGGTACGCGTCAAGGTGAGCATGACTGTCTGTTTCAGCCTATTAGATTGCTTACTCCGATTGATCCAGTACAACCCGGAAGTGGTAGCTGCGCTATCGGATCCAAACGCATATACTGTTCTTCAGCCTGGCGAAAACAAAACTGTGACGCACGATCGTATGTCAGTTGCTCCCTTTCTTGACACAATTGCTTATTCTGTTGCCTTAGTTTCGGGCATGTACTCCTTCCAAACCGCAGGAGCCTACGAAGTCAGGCTTACGTCTAATGCCGAGTATTTCCGTATAATCAAAGACGACGGTACGATAGGCTACATCCAGGCCAAGCTGTATGATGGTGCCGAAGCCGCCAAATGGGCAGGAACAAATGTCGCCGAAACTGGAACATACGCATCGCTAAAGGGTCTAGCCAGCGCGGGAATCCCGAGCCACTTGCTGGCCCGCCGGTGGGAAGATGACGAGAGTCATACGCTCTCTAAACGCCAGACGTTCCGCAACTGCAGTGCAACCCAGCAATCGAGCATCGCAGAAGGCATCAAAGGTGCAAACGCATATATCGCCGAAGTCAACAACTACCTCTCCACCTCGTACTACCTTGGCAACAAGCGATACAGGACTTGGTTTGGTCCGTACGAAAAGAAACGTTGGAACCTGGTCAAGACGCACTTTTCTAAACTTCGAAACCAACCCGCACGTTTTCGATACGATTGCTCATGCTCCGAGCCGGATACATTTGCGTATGTGTACCCTAACCAGTTTGGCACCGTGTATCTATGCGGGCTATACTGGAAGGCGCCAACTTCGGGCACCGACTCTAAAGCTGGAACAATTATTCACGAGGCAACGCACTTTACGAAGATTGCTGGAACGGACGATTTTGGTTATGGACATGCTCAAGCAATGGCCCTTGCGAAGAACTACCCCGCACAGGCGGTCATGAACGCTGAGTAAGTGGTTATAGTCCTTTTCTTTCCTCTCTAGCCTTGAACTAACTTGATGCGACAGCTCTCACGAATATTTTGCTGAAAACACTCCTCGCATTGTGTGATCTTTGCTCGCCTCCCGATTTTTATTCCTATACCATCGTGGCATGAACGCGAATTTGCTGTCAGACTTTCTTTGGGCCTTAGTTCTCGGTTACAATTCGGACATAACGGCGCATATATTCTAATATATTGATTTCTCTGGGCTATGAATTGGACATGCTTTGCATGGCACGGTTTGCAGAATGTAGGAGTATTTTTATTCATAGCAAGTCGCTAAGTCACATTCGTGCGAGTTGGAATCTGGCCAAAACAACATAATGACAAGCAAAGCTGATATCGGTGCAATAGGCTTGAAAAGAAACGTAATGGGGTATCCTTGTACAAACGCGAAGAAAAACGCAAAAGAACGGATGCAGCATTTACAAATACAGTATTCCGTATATAATACCATCCTTCCCCATCCATTCAAGCGTATGGTGTTGGCAAACCTCCAGCCAAAACCCGCGCGTTCTCGCGCTCCGCGTCCTGCTGCTGCTTGATCAACATCTCCTGGTGTCGCCGTAAGTCCTGGTTGGCTCTCGAATCTGCAACGCTCGATGCCAACCGGTTCCCGTTGCTCGTGCCAAGCGCAGCAGCGTAACCCGATTGTGCTGGTGGGGGAGGAACGTGTTGAATGTGATGCATGGGCGGTAACGCTTGCTGGTGTGTCGGAGGAGGCGTAGATTCGGTACCCGACTTGCGCTTGTAGGGACGTTTGGACCTGGCGGTTGCAGCACTACCAGGGGCAGGTGGTGGTGGGAGCTGCTCTTCCGGTTTGCGTTTCCCCGAGACAGATCCGGGTGACAAGGGTGTCGATTGCGCTGACTGGGTGTGCATATGCGCTGGCGTCCCTTGGGTGGACATGTGAGAGGGCGGAGAGCGAAGCGCAGGATTGACCATAGGCTTGCGATCAACAGAGTTGTGATAGCCGATATCGGGTGAATATTCCTCGGGCATCGCGCATTGGATTCCGCGTCGTAAACACTCTTCACAACCTAGGTTCTCCTGATGGCTAGGCCTGCAGGCAATATGATTGTCTAAGACACAAGTCAGCTCGATCGAATGGACCCGAACGACGGGATCAACTCACTGTAACAGTACAGGCAACTCCGTCGAGACCCAACAGGAGTGGCAGTCCCGTTTGACTTGTCGCTATTCCTCGACTTAGAAGTACGCCCGGGAGGCGTTGTGTTATACGGCGGCAGGTCTGGACTTGGTGCCGCCTCGTAGACCGGGGGTCCACGCGTGGAATGCGATGCTCGCGTATGATGTTTATCGGGGATCGGTCCGGGGGGAGACATGCCGCTGTAATGAGAATGAGTCGCTTGGCTGGAAGCT